TATATCTGCAGCTTAATTTAAGTAATGCCTGATTTCCCCAAGCACAGTAAATAAATGCAATCTAGGGTCTTCAATGTTTTGTACTTTCAGAAACTAAATCATAAAACATACAAGTGCTTCTCTTGTCAATATTAAAGAAGCCCAATTTAACCACCTCTTGTCCCAGTCACAACGTTAGCTGCTTACAACTGTTAAAACATAAATAAACAACTAAATTTTTCACTAATACTAAAAAAAGTACCTAAATAATCTGAGAAACATATAGGATACAGAATAAAAAGCAGCTCCTCTGGCAGAGAAATGAAGTCATCTCTACAGCAAAACACAGCAGCTCATCAGCAGCTCCTTATTAAGAAAATAATTTTTTTATAAGTTGGTGGTTTTTTTGTTGAGTTTCAGTTTTTTGGGGTTGGTGAGGGGTTTTTTTTGTTTGTTGGTGGAGTTTTTTTGTTTTAGGGGTTTTTTTTTATTATAATATGTAAGGTCATCCCAGTGGAAACTTTTATGAGAGCACAGTTCACAGTTCAGTTATAAGAGCATACTTCACTCCTACCCAAGGACTCAGGCCAGACTTCCTTCTCAGGGACAGAGCAGCAAGGACTATTTTAGTGTTCTGGCCCTGACAGGGAAACAACAAAAAATAACTGCGGAAAGACACAATCACAGCACTCAGCTGCATACAGGATATCCAGATTTAAGTCCTTGGTCTCCTTGTTCTACATGTCTACATATCAGGAGCAAAGAAATATCCCACTCATAACTCTAGAGAGGTGATTTTTTTGTATAAAAATGTGTACAAAATAAATGTCTATGAGATATTTTTAGTCTACCACCAGTTTTAGAAAAATCAACTTCATTTCAAAGAACATCTTAAATCCCAAACTTCAGCATGACAAGGTTTCTGATCTAGCTTTACCCAAGGAACTGGGGACAGTGGTGTGGGTGAGGGAACATCCAGCTCCCCACTATACTTGGTCCTTAAGGGCACCTCTCATACTTCTCAAATGAAGATGATTCCCTCTCAATGGGAATAGTTGGCAATACTACGCATTCAAATTGATTCTCACAATGTCCTTGTACAAACACTGAAATTTCAGTATTTCACTTTAAAATTTTAATGCATCATTTATGTTAATTTTCTATAAATGGGAAACAAAGAAAAGTATACTCAGTATGAGGAAATACAACCAATGCTTCCTAATAGTTTTCACAGAGAAATCATCTGAGGCATAGTGCCATGCACTGGAAAGAGTGAGAAACAGACATATTTAGAGACAATGAAACTAAACCTCCTTGTCACAGAACGTACCCCCAGTTTCCTTTGGGCAAGAAGCTGTTTCTCAGGCAACCATCATGCCAGGCAAACAAACACAGGTTTCCTTTGGAAACAGGCTCTGATAAACGCCTCTAAAGCCCTCACTTCAAAAAAAGGGCTTCCACTTTGCAAGATCACCAGATATTCTCCAAGTAGAGGAATGACAAACTGCCAGACATGACTTCTCCTCATAAAGCAGTAATTGCACAAGTACAGGCCATCCATCACACGTAAACACCACCCTAACATTAGCAACCAGCCTCCAGTCCCAGTTGCTCAGAGTGAAGGTAAGTCCTGTACACAGCAGTCTCAATGGGATGCCACATTCTTAGAACTACCAGTTTTGTAATTCCTCCCTCCACAGCCTGCAGTCCACAGCAAATCCGCTTCTTGCCTAAATGTGTTTGGTAAAGACACTCCATCACAGCAATCAATTAAAAGCATAAGTACAACTTACAGCCACAATAAAATCTGCCGTGTTCACTTAGCTTTCAAGAAAGGAATTTTTTGATGACAGAACAAGAATCATCCTCTATTTTATTTCACAAGATAGCCATGGAATTCTTTTATGTAAGAAATTCTAAATACCTGCACTTCACACCTAAATTCATGCGTACAGACACACTAAAGAAGGGAACACGAGCTAGCACTATCATTGCAAGTATCCATTTTGGAAGTACTTTTTTGGATTTTGCTCATAGCTAAGGAAGCCTTTGCATTTACCCCACTGTAACTGCATCGTGTTTGCTAAAACATACATTCCCTCAACATACACAGAGAAAAATACTAGGAAATTTTTAATCATGGCTTGAAGAAGAAGCTCTTTTTAAAGAAATCTAGAGGACAGAACACACAGTAATAATTTTTCCAAGTTACTCACTGCTTGAATTTGCTCTGAGGTAGGAAAGGTAACCAGCACAGACTTGTCGCTACCTGATTAGCAATGCATGAATGGAATGTCCAAACACTTATGAACAGAAAAGTTGCATAAGCAGAATAAATTAAAACAAATAAAATATGTTACATTCCATTTTTTTATCACATGTCGTTTTCCTTATCAAGTCGTGGCAGAAGCAGCTTCACTATTGACATTTACTGCACCTTAACTTAAACAAGGTACAGATGGCTATGGCTAATGAAAACACATTATTTAACCTTTCAACTTTTTTCTTGTAACATCCCCATGACAAAGATGGTTTACTACTATTTTTCCCCTTTGCATGCATTAAAAAATTGATAAAAAAATACGTGTGGAGAATTTACCTAGCAAAAACCATAGAAAAAGTAAGCATCAAGAATAAAGTTGAGATTTATAGTGCAAGGTATACACTTGTAGAAAGGAGCCCACATGACTTTCAGCACTACAGCTATCTTTGTTAGGACAAAAAATAAGTAAACAAAAAAATTCCCACAATATCATAAGAACTTTCTTTTTAAAAAAGCAATTTATTTCATCCATGGCCCCAGTGTGGGATTTTAGAATCATTATGCCAAATGTAAGATTTTTTTTTTTTAATGGTGTAGCAAAGGGCTCTGCGCCCAACAGGAATCTCATCCCCACTATGAGCTAGGAAAACCCACCCATGTGCCCACTGTCCAAAGGCACTGACAGATGCTGCTCACCCCTCCTGAACAGACACATGGATGACCACTGTATATGCAGGCAAAATAAGCCTTCATTTGTTAATTGTTATGTGTATACTTGGCCCTCAAATCCTCACCTCTTTTCCACCTGCAAAACAGGTAATGAGAACTAGCTAGGTAGTGAACTAAAATGTCTTTTAGTGTCATTATCACTGATAATCCCTTTAATAGGTTTTTAAGAGAGTTAGCAATGACAAACTAAAAAAAATATACAAGCTCCACTAGTTTCAGAAAAGCTTTTTCAGATGAGAGAGAAATCACAGAATATTCTGAGCTGGAAGGGACCTGTAAGGCTCATCCAAGTCCCACTCCTGGCTCTGCACATGGCCACCCTAGAATAATATTATGTGCCTGAGAGCATTAACCAAGCACTTTTTTAACTCTGTCAGGATTGGTGCTCGTCTCTGGGGAGCCTGTTCAAAATCACACCCCTGCTCCTTTCCCCTCCCCTCCCCCCAAAAAAAAAGTATCAATTGATATTGATGCAAGATTAGGTGTAACAGAATCTCAATTTATGTTAAATAGATCTAATCCCAGCCTCTTAAGAACTGACATGTCTGAAAATGAGGACATGATACACATAGTTCTACATGTCACAAAAACCTTTGCCAAGAAAGAACTTGAATTCTGGAAGTGCACTGAACTGCATCACCCTGAAATCCTGTCAGAGCATCTATCCCACAGCTGAAATGCTGCACAAAGTTGGAGCTGTTGCTGCAGTTATTGGCTGTCTTTGAAAAATGGCAGCCTCTGCTCAAGTGGAAATATTGATTCCTTAGGGATGGCTCCTCCCCTACAGCACTACACTGCTTTGGAGATGGATTATCCCATAGAGATAGTTTCACAGTAACTGTCACTAAACAAAACTGAGCTAAATTCAGGGTCCTGAACACATGAATTAGGCCACAGACAGCCGAGGAATTGCTGCCAACAATAACCTAAGTGATATCTTAGAGCATAAATGAAACTGCCAATAATGTTGGCCAGAAATCTAACCCATGAAAAGCTGATTTCACAAGTTCCTGCTTCTTTCACACTCCCAACTCCCAAGGCAGTATCTAGTAACAGACCTCTGAGGCAGTGCCTAGAGAGAAAGCAGTTCTGATCTAGAATGACAAGCCCCAAACTCCTAAAGAGTTACAGCTGTATAAAACTAAGATTAAATTTGCTTTTATACTCAAATGGCTTCATGTAAGTTCTGTGTGAACATTAAGTGAAATGTCTTATAAGCAATAATGTATATTATTTATATATATTAATACATATATCTATCAACATATATATATAATCAAGTGCAAGTCCATAAGTAATATTGTCCTATATAAGGAACACATAATATTTTACAGAAAAATTCCTATCTACACAAACTATAATAGCAACTTAACTGAAATAAAAGCAGGTTCGACCACAGATCTCCATAAATTTATCTTTTGGGATGACCAGAACAAGGACATAATACTTCTATGAAGTCTCTCAACATCCAGCTACCAAAAGCCAAATCCTGTTAAGTATTAAAATATGTAGTAGCAAGCACTACACAATGATGTGCTTACAGGATAAAAAAAACACCACATGCAACATTCTCTTTGAGCATAAACTCAAAAGGCAGTGAGACAGTGTCTTTGCAGATCCTACCTTTGTGCCCTCAGAAACCTGGGTTACACCAGAGGCCACCCAGCCACCAGGATACAACAGGCAAGGGGCACTGAGTGTTAACCTTACACAATGAGCCCCTTAGTCCAGCATCCATAATACTCTGTCTGTGCTCTGACTACAAGGAGTTGCCATAGAAAACACATATTGGAGCAAGGACCAATTGCTCCAATGTTTTTTCCCCATCATGTTCTAACTACACCAGTGAAGGAAGCCCAAGAACAAGAGAGGGTAGATGACAGGAGCTCATGTTTCAACAGAACACCACCGGGACCAGGCCTTAGGGTGATATGGGGAAAGGGAATGTTGCAGAGGTAAAATCACTGCTGGAAAGATAATCAAATTCTTACAGAAAAATTTGCCTTAAACTCCAAACTATTTCAATTACCTTCTGGTGGTGGTGGAGGGAAATCCTCTGTGTCCATTCTAGCATATCCACCGCACCTTTAGCAGGCTGGAAAATTCTGCAAAAATGAAGAGAACATGTTTTGTAGATGAACACAATTTCCAAATATTGAGACACTCCTTTTCAATTTGGCCAAGCTCATATCTATTAGCAAATACCATTATGGAAGAGAGGAAATTTGCCTCGCTTCTTCCTTCAATATGAATGCAGTCCAAATTTTTATGTACTCAGCCCTCAGTATTGGAGACAATTCTTTTAATGATCTCAGTAAACCAGCTGAAGAAAGACAAAGTTTTTAAACTATTTTGTACTCTGCAGCTCCCACTGTGACAATCACAAGGAGATTAATAAAATATGTTATTTCAATGTCTGTTTGGAGTATATAGTCCATCGCAAAATATTCATGAAGGGGTGAAGGATAAAAATTCTAGGAAGCTTATCAGTTTTCATGATGCTTTTCTCTATTCAGCAATCGAAAATAACAAATTCAACTATACAGTTTGTACACAGCTTCTTTCCATTGTTTTTTGTTCTGCTAATCTTAAAAATTCTGTTTGAGTCCCTTTACTTCCACTTTTCCTAAGGAGAGTGAAGTACTAGTGAGCAACTTCCTGGGGATCTTTTCTTTCATCTTCTTTTCTCAAATGCCATTGATCTCATGTTTTAAGGAAAAGAATAACTCTATAAAGCATTCCTCTACTTTGGTACTGAATACTCAACTGAAGAGAGCAAAGCCAGAACCCATGAGAGACATCATCTCACCTTCCCCAAAATGCTGCTTAATAGTGACATTCCAGTATCATCTGGAAGGAAAACATATTGTACTAAGCAAAGCACACACCCTGCCCCCAGCCCAGTTTTACTCCAACTCAAGTGAAAGTATGTCAAAAAGACAGATTTCAAAATAGGGCTGAGGAGGAAAATTAAGTTTCCAAAAGCTACAAAAGACAGTGAAAGAGCCAATGCTGAATTTTCTATCCTACTCTTGAGTGGCCCATAGATGTCCATCTGAAGAAGTTATCTCTTCTGCTGGCAACAAAACAGCCCAAGCCCTTGGAAAGTCTCCATAGCCCAAATATGAAAAGATTAAATTGAAGGAGACAGTGAAATTCAAGGTACAGTGGCAAAATATTAAACTAAATGGATCAGGATTCAAGGGTCAAATCAATTGCCACTTACAGAAAAAGTGAATAGAAAAAAAAAGCTTCAAAAAAGGATCCAACCCTAGGAGGCACCAGGCAATGTACCTTCCTAAGATTAGGTTTGCAAGGGTGAATTATCAGGACAGATGTGCCAGGAAGGATAACAACTCTGGTAGCACAAGATCCTTTTATGATGAGACAATTCATAACAACTACATTTACTAAGCATACAAAATTCCCTTTTAAACTGTCTTAAGCTTTGATAACTCTTAATCCAGTCCTAGACAAAATCAAGTAGCTTCAGAGCCAAGGCTCAGAAAGGATTCACCCAATATCTGTCAATAACACAATAAATTCCATTATATGCTTTCACTATACAGTGTTCCTTCTAAAGCTTCTCTACAGTTTGTATCTGCAGAGCTCCAAGGCATGTTCCTGCTTACAGATGTCTGGAATGCATCCTGCCACACCAAAACTGTCAGCCAAAACAACTGATAGTTATGGTTTGAAGAAATGGCTATTTTCCTGTATTTTTTTAAGCTGCTTATGACTGGGGCATAGGTTTTCAAGTGTGACACATGTAATACCAAGAAAACCTCTGAAAGTGAGTCTCAATACCTTTTCCAAATGCATCTTTAAGAGAGCAGCTAAAAGGCTTTCAGAATGTTTTTTTTTTTCTTTAAATATATGATAGAAGCTTTTAAAAATCTATCAAAGTTAACTTCCAACAATGATTTTTTAAAATCAATTCCTTCCTCAGCAGCAAATACTAACAAGACACAGAGCTGGGCCATGGAGCTTGATTTCCATTTTGATCTAGCTCACAGTGACATGCTTCGAATTACACAAGAATTGTGAGAAAGAAGGACACAGACCCAGTGTTAGAGTCCTACCCACTGACCTGCTTGCTCCCATCTGAACAGTGCAGTTATTCACAAGAAGAAAGCTACACTTTCTCACTTAAGAATGCCTCAGGGGTTGATTTATCCATTACATTAACTCATTTTGAAGTTCCACATATTTTTCACTACTTTTTAGATGCTGAGAAAAACCCTGGAGCAGGAAAGAGGTTGTGTATTACAGATTGCATTAATACCCTCCAAAAAGAAAATAATAGCCATATTATGTAGCAGACAGTACATTTATTAATGATCTCTATTAGCACCATATTTCAAAGAGAAGTTTTTCACTCTTCTTCTGAGAGGCAGAGGAACTAACTTAAAGATGTTTAAATCAAGATTAAGGCAGATGATTTAATTTTACTAGCAGCATATGGTACATTTGCATTTGTAGCTCAAGTGCTTTTTTCCCATTGTTTCTTCTGCTAACAGAGTTACACAGCACAGCTTACAGGTGCATTTAGACAATAATTGTGAAAATCAAAGCTCAAATTAAGCTGAAAGGGACTTCTGAATGTTCTCTCATACGCCCAAGACAGGTGTTTTCAGAATTAGATCAGGTTACTCAGGGCCTTTGTTCCCCCAGGTTCTGAAATCCCCTGAAGGTGGAGGTTTCCCCACCTCCCAGAGCTCCCTGCTCCTGAGTTTAACCAGAAAGTCCAGGCAGAGTTTTCCTGTGAGCCAAACTGGAGCTGGGCTGCAGCAGCTTGCAACCATTGCCCCTCATCCTCCTGCTGCGCACTCCTGCACAAAGCCTGGCTCCACCTTCTTTCCAACACTGCCTTGAGACATAGAAGACTGCAATTCAATCCCCCTCATTCCTTTCTTCTCAAAATGACACCAACCCGATTCCCTGACCTCTTCCCACCCCCAGCCATAGCAGTGGCCTTCACTGGACTTGCTCCAGTCTGCCAGTCCCTCACTTGTACTGGGGCCTCACAATGAACACCGAATTCCAAATGCAGCATTGAGACCACTGAGTAGATGTTGTTTGGTTTAACATAAAATTAAATTTAAAAAATTAACGGCTTTTAAGACATAGAATATTAAGATTTTGTTCCAAAGGTATTTAAAAAACTGCAAAAAGAAAAAATCCTTATTAAAGGAAATACTTGTTATTATATTCATGCATATTTCATAATAAAACTATGAATAACTCAACAACTGCCCTTACTCAAAATTTCACAGAGGTTATAAAAATATGGAGCTTTTCTCCCCCATGTAACATTGTTTTCTCAAACACAGTATACCCTCTGTTTAATGACTCCAAGTTCACCCTTCCAGACTCCACAGCAATCACAGGAATAAGGGGACAGAAAGAAGCTCTCAGAGTTACTTTATTCCCATTGGCATCCAAATGTGAAAGGAATTCACCTGACTTGGTGCTCATCATCTTTGCTTTGGATGTGGGTAGAGATAGCAGTGCCTGCTGTGGGCCACAAAGGGAGTCTGCAGGTGTCTCCTTTCCCCCTCCTCCCCCATATTTCCCCTGTGTGCCCCACATGGAGCAGACACAGGGGAGAGGCCAAGGAGCCCCTGGGCACTTTGACAAAAGGCAGCTGACCCCCTCTGGTCTAAACATCGGCCCTCACTTCCTATGTCTACTTCCTGATGTTTTCATCCAGTCCTTTCCTGCCAAACTGTGAGGAGGAATGGGCAATTCTTGCTCATATTTAAAGATAGTTTTCCAATTTTTTAAGTTTCCACTTTACCTACCCACTTACAGCTGAACCAAACTACATAGGCAAACCCCAACCATTCCAAGCCTACAAGACTACTGTTAAAAAAAACCAACCCTACTCGTAGCACAATAGCATGCTTTTATTTCAGATATTTAGCTAGTAACTTCCTAAGTTTGGCACTAAAAATCAGGAATAAAAGCAGGCATTCTGAAAGGCAAAAACCACAACAGGACAGGTCCCTTATTATACTGCAAGTTCCTGAACAAGTTTGCAATGCTTTCTAAATTTTAAGTCGGTATGTAAGGAAAAAAGAAAATAAAATACCATATTAAAGTCAGATGTTCATGGGCAATGTTTCTAATGCAGGGAAGTCCCCCACAGTTAAAGCAGTCAGATCTCCAATGGCACTCACACCAGAAACCAAAATCATTCAAGTGTGAAATGGTCCCTAAGGACAGCTCTCAATACTTCAAATTTTCCACCAGCTACACTCACCTTTGACCATGGAAACTGGTACTGAAGGAAGTGAGAGTCTGTGATGTTCACAGCAGACCTCACAAACTGCAAAACCTGAGAGACTCAAATTCTGATTCCACAGCAAAGGGCAGCTTCAGCAAATGAAACAAAGGCAAAGACACCTTTATACTTATCCAAAGACTATAGAAGAATGTCAACATTCCTCTTTGAGACTCAGTTTTCCTTTCTCCTAACCTCTGGTAAATCCTTTTGCCTCTAGGACTAGGCTTCTCAGCTGTGTCTGCATATCTGATTTTGTTCAATGATTTCCTCTAATTGTGGGACAAACAACAGACTACCAGTTCTCAGCTGAAGGATTACAAATACTGATCAACATCTGCATTTCCACTTCAACAAAACTATTTTCCAACATTCACTACTTGTGCAGGAGTCAGAATGTAACAAAAATGGGACCAGCACAAGATCTGCCAAAACTACAAGGCAGGGCAGCATTCAGACCTGGGGGCAGAGCATTTATGTGCTGAGCTCCCAAAGGGCACTTTTTGCTGCCAAGCTTTCTCAGCTCTATCACCCTAAGAAATGTAATGGTGACTCACACACCTTCTCTTAGGGTGTGTGCACTGGAACTGCAGCAACATCAGGATTCTTCATTCTTAACACTGCAGAGAGAATGAACATTTTGTAATAGGAAACAGAAGCTGAATCAAGGAAAATGATTTCCAATAAACTGTGACTTGTGGAGAAAGGTTAGTCCAAGCAGAAATGCAATGTCTCTGAGAAAAGTCTAAAAATTAAGCTTAAAAATAACATCAAAACAAGAAAACTTGAGAAAGTAAAGCCCCTGACTGTCTAAAATCC